AAATTCCCGTTAAACATCTCCTCGAATATCCGGAAAAAGTAATGGTAGAGCCGTGTAGCTCTATAACAGATTTAATAAAGATCAAATTATAAATTTTGAAATTAACGAGTTAAATAAAGTTAATAATGCTATATTTTAGCTTAAACAAAAATATGGAATAATTTTTGATAAAACTTTAGGAGATCTTAATGATTATCAAGTCGACGTTAAACTTAAAGAAGATTTTTTCCATATTATTAGCATGTTGACAAGTTTCTTTTGAATGGGAAAAATAAATAGAAGACGAATTAGACAAATGGGTGAATGATGGAATTATTATTCCGATTGAATATAGAGAAGCCACACCATAAAAATCTAATGGAAAGTAGAGGCTATGTGCAGACTTCCGAATTACTTTAAATCAAAGGGTTGTGGAAGTAAAATATCCATTACCTAGAATTGAGAAAATTTTGGCTAATTTAAAGAGTGCAAAATATTTTTCATAATTTGATTTTTCATCTGCTTATTTACAGTTATCTTTAAAGAAATTAAATAATTTACGATAACGACATGTCCTAGAAGGTGTTTTATATTATATGGATGATGTATTGATAACTGGTGTATAACACCCGAACAACATCAACATGTGGAAGAAGTTGTGAAAAGAATTCGTGATAAAGGTCTATGGGCCAGCACAAAAAAAGTATTTTTGGGATGGAAATTGTATACTTACGACATCAAATTAATGCGATGATGAAACATCTGGATAAAAATTTGAAAAATGTATCTAATATATTCAATCTTTTTTGGTATTTAAATTATTATAATAGATTTTTGAAGGATTTTCCAAAGATTGCTGTTCCTTTTTATAAATAATTACAAAAAGGAATTCATTTTGAATAGGCTAGTGACCAATAAATTTTACTAGAAATTTTAAAACGTAAAATCTAGGAAAGGCCGATTTGGTATGTTATAACAATGATTTAGAGATAATATTAGCCGTTGATGCATCTAATAAAAGTGTTGGAGATTCATTATTAAATTTAATTGATAGGTTGGAATGACCAATTATTTTTTTCTCAGAGTTCTCTGAGAAGTGGAAACACGATATTCAGTTATTGAACAAGAAGCTTTAGCGATCATTTTTGGTTTAACCAAAGGTTGAGAATATTAAGAGGTGAGTTTAAGGGTTTCTATAATTTCATCTTGTATATTTAGCTTACAAAGGTTAAGATAGAAAGTATGTAATGAGTATTAGGATTGAAATTTGATTCATTTTGGCCCATTTAAGAAATAATATTTGTGGTATTAGATGTCTTCATTTTGGCTATTTAAGACAATAATATTTGTGGTATTATATGTCTATCTAGATGTATATTTTACATTCCATTTTTGACAAAAAGTATTGTCTGATTATTTGGTATGCCTTAACACTCATTGAATGGTGTTATAGGTATTCCGTCATAGGAAGATAAGACCTCAAGATCAGCAGGACAGAAAGGATAGCTAAATATTTAAATATTTGAAATTTATGAAAATATATATAGAAATGGACTTTTGTAATAAAGTATGTGTTATATAATTATGCATTTTGGGTTTTTAAAGGGATGGAATGTGGGGGAGAATTTATTATTAATTTTAGTTTCAATTAAGGTTGATATGTTATTAAGGGATCTATTGAGGGTGAGTTAATGTTATTTATTTTGAAATAATTAACCATTTTTATGAAATAGGGTGTAATGTGAATTACACATATGATATATTTAATTATGAATGGTAGTGTAAAGGAATTGAAGTGTGATGAAGTCAGAATAATATCTATAATGTTAGATGTGGATAGTTATTTTGATTTAGTGTCTGCATTTGATATATATATAAATTGGGTAGGAATTTATATTATATATAGATGATGTGTAATTTTTTTTTAAATTATAAAATCTTTTTATTTAATATAATATATATATATTTTTTTTAAATTATAAAATTTTATAAAAAGTTTTATTTGCAATTATTATATTATTTTTATGGTATGCAATGTGAAGGGAAAATATTTTTACAGATAAGGTCAGCCTGTGTTGATGGGTATGCCTTGAGGTGAGAATATTGTTTAGTTTGCATACTGAAGAAAGTTTTTTTTTTTGTGTAAATTTTTTTTGTAAATTTATGCTGCATATACATTTTTTTTATCTTTGTAATAATTTTATAGCACATCACATTTTACTATTTATTTTATGAACATTTTTTTAAAGAAAAGACTCAAATTATTTTATATTGTGAAGGTATATTAAAAATTCTTTACATATGTACCATATAGCCCATTATATTCTTAATTTTTGTTACTTTGCATTCTACATTTTTGTGAATTTGTGCTAATTGTGATGGCAGAGTTAGGTAGAAATGGTATATTTTTCTTAGGATACTGAGTAATTCCTAGATGGAAAATATTGTATTTTCTACATATTATATATTTTTCCTCTCTATAAAATATCCAAATTTATTTCTATACATATGTCTTGTAATTTTATTTAAAATCTTTGTTCGGCAAATTTTCATTATTTTTAATACCTAAAAATGGATTTTTATATCTATTTTAGGAGATATTTATAAAAATGTAGCTTTGATTTTGTTTACATGATAGAAGGACAATTACATGTGTTGAAATTGCATTTCACACGTAGACCATGTATTCACATAACAGTATTATATGTAAAATCATTATTTCCTAATTACCATTAATCATATCCAAATAATGTATATTATAGCTTATATTTCCCAAATGTCTTAAAATGAATGAATTATTATGTTTTGCGGATATTACATTGTCCATATTAATGTTCCATAGATTATAAATGTGTTGCATATGCGCTTTTATATATTTAAATACTTAAATAATTTATATTTAAAGTTCAGTTAAACTATTATATATTTAAACACTTAAATAATTTATATTTAAAGTTCAGTGAAATTTATTTTGTATATCTCAAGGCAACAAAATATATATAAATTAATATATATTCATTTTATATACCACTTGTATTTTTCTTTTTGAATATATATAAATAAAAATACCAAATTACTATAACAACCATTTTAGATAAAATATTCAAGCCTATATTTCATCCTGTGCGACCATCCTAATAACCATTCTAGATTAAATATTCAAGCCTTATAAATTCTCTTTCAGTAAAATGCAGATACCTCAATGTACATGTCATTATTGATAATATGATGTTTTCGCGATTATATATTGAAATGTATCGGAGATATTATATTATAAATCATCATAAGGGCAGACGATTCGATAAATTCCCTGAACGTCTTCAAGGCGTCCCGATACATTTCAAAAGGGTGATTCGATACAATTCAAAGGGCGATTCGATACAACACCACCACAGAGAGAGGGACGCTGGGCTTGTGAAGGGTGGGCATGTTGTAGCTGTTGAAAAAAAGAAGAAATAAATTTAATTTAATACAGAAAATGTCAGTTATTTTCTGACAGGGGATTTTTAGTTTTCCTGGGGGATAGAGGGAAAACGTGATTATCACATGGGAGATTGTTAAAGAAAAGTCCTTTGTTGGAGATTTGGAGTGAAGATATTGGATTAATTGGAGAAGATGTCAGCTGGGAAGAACAAAGAATGGACTTTTAGGATGAAGAATATATGAAGCTGAATAATTATGATTTATAATTTTTATATTTTTATTAATGAATAGGTATTAGATTGTTTTTTAATAAATAAATATGAAATCTTCTGATAAATATAATTATGAATAAATATGGATCTTCTTTAATCGTTAGTGAGAAAACATTGGTTCGTTTTCTTTCTCATATGTTTAAATGTGGTCCTACCTATTGGGAAGATCTTAAACTCAAATCCGGTAAAAAATATCGGTACATTCCTACTATTAAATATTTTTACCTTTAATATTAAGAGTACAAATTAAATTATTTATCCTTATAAATAATAACTTTTATTTCATTAACTTAACATCTTATCGCTTCCATTGAAAATTTTTAATATATAACATCGTTAGTAGTTCAGCAATAGATAATGTAATATAATTTATATAATTTTGATATAATAAAAAGATATAAAATTGTTCATCCATAATATGATGATAAAATAATCCTTATCCCGAAACCTAGACACGACCATTTAAAGTAATATTAAACATGATAATCAAAAGATACTTTTATTACTATAATAAGCAAGATTGAGGAACAGTTGGAGAATAGATTGAAATAGAAAGAAATGAATATAATAAATAGTATATTATAAAAATATGAATAGATTATTTTACTATCACTTTATTAAAATTTCAACATATATTATAAGACATAAAAATTAAAAGGCAAAAGGTTAAAGCTAAAATAAAAATTAAAAATAAATTCTTTCCAAAAACTAAAAATTGTTATAATATTCACAAGAATCTCAATTATATATCTTCTCTTTAATAATCATTTACATAATCTGTAATATTAAATAATTATCATAATAATTCTTCTAATTTGATTAAGACATTTTTCGCATCTAAATATTACAACAATTACCTTTTATTCCAGCCCCCTCCCCACACCCCTGAACAAGTCCAACCAATTAAAACTAAGAGCAAATAATATTATTTTAGTCAAAATATATTTTAAATCTCTTCCATACCCATATCAAAATTTTGTGTTGATAAAATACTCTAAGCATTTGGATGGCAAGGCGAAGAGGTATTTATATCCTAAAGAAAATATAAATATTACAAAAGAGACATGAACACGATAGATAAATAAAATAAAATTGTTATTTCTGGTTTTGTTATTATGCATGAAATGTTGTTAAATGACTCTATTTCTAAAAACGTATCACCCACAATTTTAGCCAAAAGATTAGTTTTACTCATAGATGGCAGGAAGGTTTGAGCATCTGTTAGCAAATTCTCGAGGCTTGTATAATATTATTTTCGCTTATATCTTAATTTAAAATTCGCTAAATCGTACATTAATTATTACTTCCTCTAAAAAAAAACTTCCATCAATTTAAACCGAAAATTTATTATTAAATAATGTAACAAATAAGAGATTACGACATTTAATATGTTTCACAAATTTTAAATGATTTTCAAATCCCCATATATCACCCCAAAATAAATAAATTATAATTTAATTTTCATTGTAATTCACAAATAAATTTTATAATGTTTTATATAAAAGAAAGAGATGGATAAAATCGTTCAAAATTAGTTTTAACCTACAAGAGTTTTATGAGAAAATAAGCATTTAAGTTTATTCAAGTACACATGCACTTTTACTGCATATCACAATGTTTCCTATCGTAGTTGTTGATGGTCCAATATAAACTCTATAAACATCTATCATTTTATTTTTAATAATTAATAAAATATTAAATGTAGTTATCTTTAAAATGTTAACAACATATTCATCGACTTTATTATTTAAAATCTTTCTGGCTACAAAAAAATTGTAAATTATAATAAAGTTCTAAAAAAACATTTTGATTACCTTCTTATCAAAATCTATAAAATATTAATTTACAAATTGGACACCGAAATTTAAAAAGCAACATAATAATTTGAAGTCCTCCCATTATTAACAATTAAAAAGTATTATTCCCCACTTAAACTATAAACACATATTAGGTTTCCGTTATAAATTCAAAGATTGAAGATAATGCCCACTTTCCTACTTTGTTTAAAAAGACCGTACAAGGAGGGTATGTGTAAATATATATAATTCAAACATTACATACCATAAAAGTGCTTTAACTTAAACAGAACATTTACATTATTAACACAACTTTCATACCATATAAGAATGGATCAACTAATTAATAGATATTTTTTTAAGCATACCTTACTAGGGGATACGAGTTATTTTAGAAATTTGGAAGGTGACTAGTTAATTTCAAATAGTTATGCATCTGAAAAGTAATTAGTTATATATCAAACCGTGACTAGATGGCTGCGCGGGTTTCCCAAAGCCTAATTCGCCCCGAAATCAAAATAAAGAAAATTAGATAGAGGTAAGAGTAACAAATAAAAGCCTTTCCTTTTTTGGTATTAAAAACAAATGAAAAACCTATTTTACAGGGGGATCATTATGAGACTATTTTCGCTAGCGCTAGGTTGTGATTATTTAAGGTATCTCCGAATCTTTCAGGATTTTTATTATTTTAACTAGAGCACTTCCTATCAGTTTTTCTAAATTTTCCTTCTAATCTGCTAAATAATGTATAATTATTTTATATAATCTTCGAATAATATTTTGTATCGGTGAGAGATTTTTAAATATATAAGTAAGCAGTGATTTTTTTCGGGATATATCTTTCCAGGTTTTTTACGAATTATTAGAAACAAGCAAACGTGGCTATATGGTCTTGGCAATCGAAGATATTGCCCCCCCCCCTCTCCCTCCATGAAAAAATGTAACACATATAGAGGCCATTTTTAATATTATTTTAAATTTTTATTAATATGATGAGAAAGTAGCATTAAAAAGCATATATAGATACTACAAATGTATTTCTAAAAAGGCTAAATAATTTTGTATGGAAAGCAAATATTTGGCCTCATTTATGGCAAAAAAAATTTTTTCAAGGTGCTTTACTAAAGAGCGTAATTTCTATGACCTTATTAATTCAGCAGAATAAATGTTTTTGTAGCAATTTTTAATAGTCATATCTAAAATACCCTCCTCCCCCCCCCAGCCCCTAATTCTCTTCAGTAAAAAGGTCCTTGGAAACAAGAAAAAGAAAATATTTCATCATTAGTTATAATTTAATAGCAATGAATCTTTTAAAAAATGAAATCAAAAATATTTTAAAAATTCAGATCTCCCTCTCTTTGTTACGGTTCTTTGGGGTTTAACTCTTATTATATATGAAAATATTATATAGAAAATTTTAAGAATTTAAACCATTATTTCGGTTAGGGTTAGCTGTCGCCCTTGTTAAAGCTTCTGGTATAATATTGGCTAGATATAATTAATATTTATTTAAATGTGTTAATATATTTTTAAATTTATAAAAAAAATTACCGTTATTAGTGCCAGAAGACAGAAGGATAATTAAACAAGCTATTATTACCTATATTAATATGTTAAATATAAACTTGTAATTATGCCTTGTATGTAATTTTATGATTTATCTTCAACTTAAAATTAACTATTTTGCATTAATATATTTTTAAGTAACTTCTATCTAATCAATTTAGAACGATGAAATTTAATTGAGATAACAAATAATACACATGATTAACATTGTTTCATTAAATAATAAAACATAAGTATAATTATAATTACTTACGTGGAGGTGAAACATGGTAAAACAATGTTTGATTAGATATATGAATATCCCAACAAAGTGGAAAAATATTTAGTAGTGTATTTATTGATATTGTGGCTTTTTGAAATTTTATCTGGTCTATCGAAAAGAAGTTAATCTTATCCTTGTCACTATATCAACAATATTTTGTATTTTTTTTAAAAAATTAAAGCTCTAAGACCTTGAATCGACTAATTTATTCAAAAATGAACCTATAAAAGGATTAAAATACAAAAAAAAAATTTAAAAAATATCTAAAAATGGCAAAAAAAATATATAAAATAATAAAAATTTAATTTTAGAAGTTGAAATATTATGCTCATTACATATGTCAGGTAAATATGTTTTTATTTAAAAAAAGACTAAAATAAATACCAATAAAAATACTATTATAAACGATAGAAAATAAGCTACTTGGAGCTGTGAATTAATAAGAAATTTGAACGGCAAATTTCCAAGACAATGTTATGGGGAATATGGAATTATTCTTTAGGAGCTACTGTGAGATGGATAATTTTTCTTCTTATTTCTTTTTTTCAGGAAGGAATGTGTTAGTGACCGTTACCGAGGTTGATGTGATAACATGAACGAATTTAATCATGTATAGTTCTGAATATTTGTGTTTTTAGTGGGTGTAAGATATCGCGAATATGTATATACAAATGTAATCCCAAGCGAGAAAGATATCCCATTCCCATGGAATTAGGATTAAACCATATGACCTATTATCATTTAAAATATTGAGACCTAAGGGCTCGAGGGTGCATGGTACGTTAAATCTTCTTAGAGCTTTGGATATTGTATTGTTGACTGCGCTATGCCCTGAATGACGGCCTTTAGAGAATCGGCAGTGTAATGGATGGTGTCCATTTTCTTCAACTCTTATGTAGCAGAGATAACAGTTGAAAGTTAATTGTTCGGAAGATAAATGAAGCCCGAGATTTGAGTGGGGAGGATAACTTCAATCCATTCGCTCCCCTGTCAAAGTTGACAAATTAAAAGTTAGTTCATGGTTGGGGTTTCGATAATATAAATTCGACGGAACGTTCAACCAAAGGAAAATTACAATCGTTCTAAAAACATGAAGGAACGATAGGTAGATTGAGGATTTATTGGCCCAGAGCTTGAGAGCAGAATATAGGTGTTTATCTGGAAGTGCACAGGTCGGATATTAAGAAGTCAGTGTCTTGAGGAAATGAATGCTGCTATTTATAAATGTAACGGTGAAGGAATACCGAGCTCCCATATTTTGTAGGTAATGATGCTTGAGTCCATGATATAGGTAATAAAGTGATTAAAAACCTTTGATATTTAGCATCTTTCTCCTGTCTTGTGAATATTTCATTAATATTGTATTAAATATTCTTTATTTTTCTTTTCAATTCATAGATGTTTATTTTATAATATATAATTTCTTATGATAGCAAATATTTATAGGCAGAGACTATAAATCAATTAACCAACCGATATATCTTATTTTATTTATTTAATTCTTCCCGAAAATTATACCTATTTTTTAAACTTTTTCGAAATGATCATTTACAATAAAATTAGTTGGCGTCAAGTATATTTAAAAAAAAGCGCCTTTATCTTTTCTCCATTTGAAAATTAACACTTTTCCCTGCTAATTTTGTTAAATTAAATTTTAGTTTTCTTTATTATATTTTTTATAATACATATGAAAAATTAATTTTATAAATTAAAATTTTTGAGTATCAAAATAAAATATTTCTTAAGAGAAATCAAAATATACTCTTGACGAATATGGTGAGGACTCCTATCTAATAATTCCGCCAAGCGAACAAAAAAAAGCTTATTCATTTTTTTTATAAAACTATTTTTTCAATTTTTTGTCGTTCATATATTTTATCATTTACCCATCGAACAATTCAAATAATGGTCATTTGCACTATATATTTTATTTAGCATATTAAGGAGACGATTAAAACAATAATAATTTACATTAATATATTATATATATATTTTTTTAAAAAAACAATCTTTTTTTTAAGAGGCAATCGTTTTTGATAAAATTTCCGCTCCGTATTTATCCAACGCGTCCGTTTTTAATATCCAACACGGTTTGCGGAATACATTCTTTGAGTAGCTGCAATAAGTAGCCATCATTTTGATACTATTTTCGATGTGAACCTTCGGTAGCATATGAATCTCGATATTAGGCTCTTCGCAATCCGAATCATAATAGGCGTAGGTAGGAGCTGATTTTAACGTCGCCCAATACCGCTGAAATTCGACTATGATTTTGAACACGCTTTGACTATTACCGTGAATCATTTTGGCTAGGTGTGGAAGAGCTATAAATATAATATTATATATATAGCAAGAATTTTTAAAAAAAGCGGTAACAAATAAGTAAACCTTTTCTTATTTACCTTTTTTTTTAAATAGTCTGAATATTCTGGCCATAGATAGACTCCACTTCTAAAATCGAATAGGTTTCGGTTCGAATTCATGATATTAAATAAATATTTAGGAACGAAATCTTATTCTTTTATTTTTTGGTAAATTCATAATTATATATAGGACACGAATTTATACAAAAAAACGAACGAAAATTTGATTAATTAAAAGTTTTATTATTAGTATTGAGAATTGAGCGTCAGAGATGTATGAAACCTTGAAGCGACGCGAGTGGGGAATCAAAGTTTTTTTTTAGATAATACGAGGATCTCCAGGCGCAAAATTATGGGGAGGTGACAGTACAATTGTTTTAAGGTGGAAGGCAAATTTTATACGGGGGGAACCTCTGGAATGTTTAAAGCCCTAGAAGAAAAAATATATATATTTCCCATTATATTTTAAATCGTTATATTTGATAGGAATCTGATCAGAGTGTCATATTCCCTTCACTCATGCTAGGCCAAAATATAATCCACCTTTTTGTGGTGCCTTTTTTGAATGATAATGCAATAATCCATTTTCTCCTACTTCACGTTATATGCTTAAAAAAAAGTCTTGCAAAAATATGTCATAATAAATATTATATTTGAATTTTATATTATGTTTTACAAGATTTTGGAAAAAATAGGTGTTTTTTTAAGTTTCAAAAAGTAATATTTAGGCCTATTTGTTTTTTCATGTATTTAAAATTCATACTATCTTGAATAATTTTATTATTTACAACATTAAAGACATTGATTTCGAGACGTTTACAAAAATAATATAATAAGAGATACCTCCAAAGTAAGGTCAGCCCTTCAGGGACGAATTTTAGAAAACAAATATAATCTTGTCAAAACCGGTTTCCACTTTTTTAGTATTCGTTCGAAAACCGAATAGCGAGTAATCCATTATTCGATTTATTTTCGTTTTTGAATAGGCCTGTTGTATGGGAGTGGGGAGGGGGTTAACCGATCTTATTTCACTGATAGTCCAGTTAAAATCTAAAATATCGCACCTTCAAAAAATGGTTTTTGGCTATCTATTAAATCAATTCGATCTTATTTATGCCAAACTTTTTTTTAGTCCAGACAGGATGAAAGGTGTTTGATTATTTTCAAAAAAAAAATCGCTATTCTTCATTACTCTAATTTATAGAGTAATTTAAGATTCCGTTAAACCAAAATGGCGTCCTAATCGGAATTTCGAAGTGCCTAATATTTCTGGATCTTTATTGAATCAGAACTAGAATGGGAGGGGTGGGGGTTTAAAAATTTTCCTGTCCACTAAACACGGACTTTTCAAAGAGAAAACTTAATTGCCGATATAATAACAATGAGATTTATATTTATTCTTTTCATTCAAAAAACGGAGAAGCCAAATTTGAAACTAGTAAAATATAAATAAGGCTCATTTATTTTTCGTAAGTAATAATATTGAGATGCAACTATCCGAAACTTTTGTGTTGGGCAGATATATCTAAATATATATTGCTTATTAAGAAGTAAATTGGCTTTTGAACGTATACCTAAAATTTGAGTTTTTTGCTTATAATGTATAGCAGTCATATCAGAGCTCAATTATTTTTAATTAAGTAATGGCGTCTAAAATATGTATTTTTTTATATGGAATTAATGGGGGAAACGGATAAACCAATAAAAAATAAGAAAAATTTTGGATCAGCTGATAATGATACCCACAAGAGGCAATCTACTTTTTTTATAAAAAAAATGATAACTCCAGGCAAATTAAAGCTGATTTATTTACCTTCAACTGACCAAATTTGAGTTTGCAAGGGAAACGAATAAACCAATAGAAAATGTGAGAAAATTTATATCAGCTGACAATACCTGTCAGAGGCAATTTAAAAAAAAATGTTAATCCTACATTAACTCGAATTAATCGATGTACACAAAAATTAAACCTTCATCGGGCACGTAACGTTTTTTGGTGGCCGGAGATGGAGTTTGAGAAACTTTAGGACTCCTGCGAAGTTGATCATGAGCATTCGGTATTAGTCCGTCTGATTGATCCATAAATTCGCCGGGAGATGGAATATTGTTGATAGTGGTATATAAATCAATTAATTTCTTGGGAATAGGTATTGGCGGTGGTGATAATACATTAATAGGGAGCGGGTATGACATTGGTCGAATCTGTCGTAAATCGCAATTTATTAATTTTTTTATTATTATTTATACTATATATAGTATATGAGAATTAGCATGATCCCATATGGTACTTATTTTTAGTGCCAAACCTGGCCAATAAATCCGGTCTGAGTTTTTTCCAAGATCCTAATCAGAAATTCGATTGGATTTGGGCCCGGCCCTAGTTTTTCCGAAACCGTAATTCGTTTAAATTTGGGCATAAGGTAATATAGGGTCTCTATTTTACTATATAGCAAAAAGAAATAGGTCCTCCTAATCTCCCTACATTGATATCTTGCCACACACTTCAAATCTTAACGATATTCATTAAAATTTAAAAATATAAAACTGTTGTATCTGTTCCATTTATAATTGACATTTATGGGCGCTTTTCAATTTATTTTTCGAGAAGAAAATAATTGCTTTCATTTTTCTTTTGTCCTAAAAAAATGTAAATCATATGATTTGTGTTGTAATATTTAAATGAAGAAAATAAAGATAATTTAAACAGGTTGTAATATTGATGATATATATATAATCATTGGATGTAATATTGGTTTGAGATATTCATATTTATAATGAACTATTGGTATATATTTAAACGTGATAAAAACTATTATAATCTTATTTTTCCCAAATAGCGATTTACAAACCAAACGATTTTATTTTATTTTTTTAAATGGCGGGTAAATATGTAAGCCGTCTATCATAGATATCGCATGTTTTTTTCTTCAACATATAATAGTTGCCATGTACCGTAATTCCCGTCCCGAATTATCTCTTAACATTATTTTGGCGAACAAATAATGGTACATTAACCATTCCATGACAAATCAAACATGACTTGGCCGACCCTCTTCGATTTTTTTTAAAATTTGGTAAGTAAAGAAAGGTTAATGTAACTAAGAAATAGCCAAAATTTTCGTCCTAACATTTATATTTTCGGAGTTGGGGTTCAAAGTGGCAAAAATGGCCTATTTTTTTACCATTATCTGCCTTCATTCATTTAAGCGTGTCTTAAAAAACTATTAAAATTTAATATCAAAATTGTTGTACGTGGAACAAAATTTGAATAACAAAAATAGATAATTGTAAAAGGACGCACTTAAAATGTTAATTTGAATAATTGAATGTATTAAAGTTTTTGTTAAAAGTTGTTTTGTTTTATTATAATTGATTGTATAAAATTTAATACATATAGTTGTGTTGAAAAAAGAAAGAAAGAGAGTTCTTGAAAAATATGTATTTTTGTTAACTTAATAAAGAAATTTTAAAAATTTAGATTTTGATATTAAATTTATAAATTAATAACAATTTAGTCGGTATACAATTAGTATCGTAAATAAAATTTACAAAGATTACACTTTTAGCTATTTTTACAATTTAAGGCCATTTTATTTAATATATAAAAACTTAATACGATTTTTGAAATTAATATGACCTTCAATTTTTATAAAAAATTTAGTAGACATTACCAAATTCTTCCTTTACATTTATATTAGAAAAAATCGGCCTGAGACACGGCCAACTTCATTCTCAAAACGGATAAAATTGATTAAAAAGTGTATAAATATTTTCCCGAAAAGGGGCATCTTTATATAAAATTATATATTATTCAGTTTTTAGTTATTTTTCTTGAACTTATTTGATATAATTTAAAGGATTATTCATCTTGCAAGTGAAAATAACAATAAATGGGAGATTCTATCAATTATAGAAATTGTCTATCAATAAAAAAAATTAAATTTATTATAAAATTATTTGCCCAATATAACATATATTTAAAGAATAATTAATCAAAATATGTTCAACCAAGTTTAGAATTCTTATATGAATCAGAACTCTTGTGGCGCCAAAATTAACATCAAATTTTTTGCTGTTCTATTTTTTTAAAAAAAATTTTTATATATTTTTAAATAAAATATTACAAAATGTTAATTTATTATTATTATGAAATTATTAACAAAATTAAAAATATTCTCATTATAAAATAATCCAAAACAATTTTAAAAAAGATTTGATAGGATCTTGTAAAAATATTTATTAGTAAGAATTAGTGTTGTTAAACGGGCTCGTTTTGAGCCGATTTTTTATAAAACGGATATCTCAATATTTTAGCCAAAAAAAAAATATTGCTTAAGTCTCAAGATTTTTCTAATAGATATCTAGAGACACCTGTACCATCTAGTGTTGTTAAACGACCTAACTTTAGTCAACCATAAAACAGCATAGACATGTTTTTAACCAAAAATATTCCAATCAATCTTAAAGTTGAGATTCAACTTAGAGCTTAATTCAATTTTTTAGGCTAAAAACTTGACTGTTAGGTAATTTAAAACCCAAGTACCATAATGTGAGCAAAATCTTCAAGCTTAAGTAAAAAAATTTCTAGACAAAATATACTTTTTTAAAAATCGACTCAAATCGAGCCGTTTAACAACACTAGTAAGAATATACCGATATTATTTATCGGATCAGCGATTATTTTAATTTTTTCGATATATTTAATTTTTTGATACTAGAAAATATATTTATTAAGAATATTCTTATGGCGTTAATTATGTGCGATAGTGGACAACATAAAGAATAAGTATACGAGGTGATTAAAAAAAATGGTAGTGGTCTATTTTTAGCAATTCAATTCCTGATATATAAAAAGATGAGTACAAGTAGAGGCCATCCTAGTCAATTTTCCTCGCTTAAGTGCCTGAAAATTCTTATGAACATTATGTTACAACTATTATCGATAACAAAAGGCTTTGTTGTAAACTTTGTCATAGTAAAACAAGATATACTATGTAACATAACATGTTAAATGTTTTAAAAAATTTCATAAATATAAAAATTACAAAAATGTATCTTATAAATGTAAAATATATAAAAATTAATTTTGAAATTATCTATCGTATTTCGATTTTTGGCAATAATATAATTTTATCTTATTTTTATACCCCTAATGGTCAACGTTGCAGATATGCAACGATACCGATTTCCTATTTAGGATGATTTTTACTTCCGATTTTTTTATGATTTCTTAGTTAGACTAAAATAAATTAAATTTGAAAAAAATCAATAATTTTTATGGGCTGAAAAAAGTGTGACCATTAATGAGTTTACTTAATATAGTTAAACCACCTCTGCAAAATAAATGTGGGATAGATAATTTTAGGAGAAAGAGACCAATTACATCAGTTTATTAGTTATAGTTAGCTAGTTTTGTTAAATCAAATGACTAGAATTAACCGTCATATGATCCTTTTTATCATGTCTAAAACTGTTTTTAGGAAGTAAAAAAAATACACCATTTGGTGGTAGGATCAAGCATACTTTTAAATATAAAAATATATCCAATTTTTTTACTATCAAACGATCAAAAGAATCATCTAATTCGTGCATAGTATTGCCGTCAACGCTAAATTGAGAGATATCGTTAGTCCACATGGGACCTATAACAATGGGCGTCAATTTTTTGAAACCCCCTTCTTCCTTATTTTTCTTCAAATTATCTTTCCACGCTTGAAGCGTCAACTTTTGCTGGGCCTTGATTATCCCAAAGGCCTGAATAATTATATTTTAAATTATATAAAAAATTAGATCTGCGCACACCCATTTAAAGTATCTCTAAATTAATGAATGTGTTTGATTCATCGGTTATTAAATCTAATTGTCGCTTGAATATTTTTTTGTTATAACAATTAACCATTATCTTTTATTATATTATGCAGCACTTGTTTTTATATTGTTCTGTTTAGAATCGATATCTGACTTTTAGAAGTTATATATATGTTTTTAATGATATGAATGGTCCTGAGTACCACGGTGTGACGTACCCCAAGTCCTCACGCACCAGATAATTTTTAAAACAATCACTAATCGTGAATCTTGTGATCAGTACCATAACTATAATTTTTCTCTTAGAAAGACACTGGTAGGAAGAGATCGCCTTATATCGATTCATTCCAAAAACTGTTAAAAACATTTTCTTAAAAAACAAATACCAAAACGTTAAAAAAATCAATAGTATTTTTCTTACGCTTTTGAAAGAAAAAAAACCATCTGAAAGTTCCCCTTCTTAATAGTGGGAAAAAATTAAGTTTCAAATGCTGCGTTGCAAGGCCTTTCAATAGCCTCGTTCGAATTGGTAAAATTACCGTTTGACGTTAGCAACAATTTAAAAAACGCAAACAAGTTTGCTTTTTAAATAACTTTTTTTATTCTTCGCTTTGTAATATTATATAAAATGTAATATTAATAACTTACTTATATACTAAAAAAGAATATTTAGAAATTAAAGAATTAAAGAAATAAGAAGGCAGACGATAATATAATTTCCAAAGACAAATCCTTTTTTTTGAACTTATTTAAAATTTTGAATCGACGCATATTAATAAAAAGACGACCTTATTTAAACAAGGGACGCGTTACGGCTTTAATTTAAAAATTACGGTAAAACGTTAATGCTCAATTTGTGCGCACTATAAGTCAGTTTTTAGTTATTTTTTTTAAAATAGTTACATTATATAAGGTTACAAAAATATTTTTTTGTAAAATACCCAGTCTCAGCTAGGAAGAAAAATCTAAACCCGGTATAACTGAGAATTAATTCAAAAAAAAATTTGAAGAGGTTATGGTTAAGAAGTCACTGAGTTAATTTATATAAAAAATAACTGGTCTCAATAGCTCATCAATGGTTTTTATTATATGGCTCAATTTTAGCCGATTTTTTAAATCGGCAAAACTCAATATTTTAAGATTTTGCTATAATAGATGCCAAACCCATCGCGTCACAATCTATTGGCATAATCTTGGAGCTTGCATATTTTTTTTTCTTCTGGATAAAATATTGGGTTAGCCATTTTTAAGAATCGGCTCAAATTGAGCCACTTGACAATACTTACTCACCACTTTACCAAAAAATAATAATAATGTTAGATTAAAATATTTTCTTAAATAATCCCCAAAAAAAATATTACATCGTCCTCTTCTTCTTCTTCTCCCATATCAGGAGGGGTATGAGTTTCGCGTCCATTTTCCATCTCTTCGGTGGGGCCATTAATTTCTTCTTTTTCATCTAAAAATTCTTCCTCAGACAAATATCCGTGTTCCACTATGAAGCCCTCGTCAGAATCGTATTCCGAACCCTTTATTTCGTCGTCGATATTTTGATCCTCCTAACAAAAACAAAGAAAAAAATCAAGTTTTTAAAAATAAATTCCTAATTTTGTTTGAGCTGATAAAAAAAAGGAACTAATTAATCTCTCGGACTTGTATTTGGCTGGACAAATATTACAATAACTCTATATACATCAATCAGAGCAGTCTGAAGATTAACATTTTTTAGCTAAAATAATATTTGCAAGCCTGGAGGTTTGGCTCTTAGATGCCCGAAAGGTTTGGACCTCTCTACAGGCTAACATAATACTATTTTAGCCTAAAATCTTAATTAGACCGTTTAACAACACTAGCCTGAACTGACTCGTGGACATGTATAAAAAAATGCTTTACCCGGCTTTCCAATGCTTTAAAAATGTGTAAAATTCCGACTTGTGGAGTGCAATTTTTTAATATAATATAATATATTTACATCATCATCAACAGAATGCAAGCTTTCGCCTAGCTCCTCCTCTTCCCAATCCTCATCACTGTCGTAGGTGTAATCGATGATATCCTTTATTTTATTTGTATTAAAATGTATAAGATAAGCATAGTTCGTAAGTGGAAACCTTGGAAGCAGAATGAGGCCTAAAAAAAATTAGAAACAGATCCCCCCCCCCCCATTCCTTTCTTAAAATTTCCAATTATATTTATCTCTATATTATTTCATAGATTTTTTATATTTTTTTTAATGCAATTTATAATCATTCTTTACCACGTGCGTTTATATTTTTGGCATATAAATTAAACGTTTTTCTTATTATTTGCACATTTTACTCCTTAACAATAAAGTCACAGTGTAATATTGATTTTCGGGATTTTTAAATAAAACTCAATATGTCAGTGACGAAACGTCAAGTTTACTACTTAGGAAAGCAATCAAAAAAAAATTTTTATTTTATTTGTTAGTCAAACCATAAAAAAAGAAAACTTAAGATTTATAAATAAGTGGAATTCGTCTTTGTTTTTTGAGTAAAATGATCGAGTACTGAATTATAAAAGTTATTGCTAGATTTTAAACTTTTTTTCAATCGAAATCAAAAATAGATTCCCCCATTTCTGCACACTTGCAGTTGTTGAAGCCAAAGTTAAGATGAATTTACATAATTTTAAAAAAATCTTTAAAAATTTTTATCAAATTGTTACTTATTAAAAATTCAAGAATTTCATTAACATTATATTTCAAAATTCTCAGTGACGAAGCATCCATTATTTTTACTACGTTAAAAAATTTACTATTATCTTTTACCAAATTAAAAAAAAAAATTTACATGATGGAAGCAAAATATTAATTATTATTTTTTGGTGTCATTTTTCTATAACGTTAAAAAAAATATAAATGAGGGAAGCAAATTTAACATTGATTATTTTTTTTAATAAATAAAGAGAAAATTATAAAATAAGCATCGGGGGAAGCAAATAAATTTTTTTATCTTTTTAAAAACAGAAATTAATGTTTAATAATTGTAATTGTAATATTGAAAATTTTTAATATTATCATATAGCTCAAGAAATTTTGATGCTAAAAAATTGATTATTGAAAAAGGAAGACCAAAACCAATTTTACAAAACTTAAAAAAAGAAATCAAAACCTTGCATTAGTAATTTTTCTTCTAACGATAAATATGAAAAATATGGGTAGCTCACTGGATATAAATTTTCTAAGTTATGCCTATTATTAGGAAAAATATGTTTGGCATGATAAAGAATTTTTGGATATGAATAATTTTTCAAAGGCAGTTAAACGGCATGAACAATCATCCGCTTATTTGCAGATGATTCAATTAAAAACATTTGGCGAAAATCGTAGAAAATTTGATAGATTCAATGCGCAAAATATCAATCGAATGGCATAATTCGAAAGTCAAATCAAATAGAGAAATATTGAAAATATTGATCAACTCATGTTTTCTGGGAATTCAGGAGCTAGTATTCTGGTGATGATGAATCTTCTAATTCAGTAAATAGAGGAAATTTTATTGAATTAATTTATTTGTTTACGGAAGAAAATTTACTATTGAAACATCATTTAGAAAATAATAGTATAGTTTTTATTGGACTATCAAGCGATATTCAAAATGATTTAATTTATCATATCATATGTCTTACACCAAAAAATATTAAATAAATTGGAAGAAATAAAATTTATAACAATAATATTAGATGAAACAACTGATATAATAATATATCTCAACTGGCGGTTGTTCTTCGATGTTTTAATGTGTGAAAGATATATAGAATTCTTTGATGTTATTTTATGTATGCATCGAGATGCTAATTCTTTATCAAATTTGTCATTAAATTCTTAAATGATAAAAAAGTTATAAAAAAATTAATAGGTCAAAGATACGATGGCGCAGCTGCCATGACAGGCGATTCACATGAACTAGAAGCGAAAATAAGAGACTTCAAGCACTTTATATTCATTGCTTTGCCCATAAGTTAAATCTTATATTATCAAAATTTTGCAACAAAATTAGAATGTAAGATTTTTTTAGCATGGTTTAGCTAGTTTTTTTTAATACATCATCTAGGCCGAACAGCGGAATTTTATAAATATGTCAAAAAAAAGATAACCACGAATAGCTACAACGAAATGGAAATACACTGGTGGCTGGTTCAAACAGTTTTCAATTATTTGAAGGATCTAGTCCTTTTTTTTGAAAGTATGATTAATGAAGAATCTGATATTGCTTGGGATAATGATGTTCCATTTTTTTCAAGAAATATTAGTCCAGAATCTGATTTATTATTTGCTATACTTCAAACTAAAATTAAAGATATATCTTATAGCCTTAAAAGTATTAAAGATTTCAGAAATTCAGTTAAATCTTTCATACAAACCTTTGTTGTGTTTGGGAGAAATTTAAAAAAGAAAATATTGAAGACAATTTAGATAAAAAAAACGTAATGAATCGCGATTGCCCAATTCATAATAATTTTATAAAAATTTGATAATTAACAAATTGATTTTCGGTTCGATGCATAAAAATATCAATTTCGTCGAATTGTTAGATATTAGTAAATCCAAATATTTAATCAAAATTTCCCAAAATATTTTTTAGACAATTTAAATGGCACTCGCCTGCCATAACAGCTGCGCCATCGTAACCTCCTATAAATATTTTCATAACTTTTTATCATTCAAGAATTTAATGACAAATTTTGATAAAGAATTAGCATCTCGATGCATAGTAAAGTAGCATCAAAGAATTCAATAAATCTTTCTTTCACGTTATCGAAGAACAACAGCCAGTTGAGATTTTTTATATCAGTTGTTTCATCTAATATTATTGTTATAAATTACGTTTCTTCCAATTCATTTAATATTTTTTGGTGTAAGACATATGAAATGGAATTAATTAAATCATTTTGAATATCGCTTGATAGTTTAATAAAAACTGTACTATTTTCTAAATGATGTTACAATAGTAAATTTTCTTCCGCGAACAAATAAATATATTTACTGAATTAGAAGATTCATCATCACCAGGGAATTCGAGCTCCTTATTTCCAAGAAAACATGAGTTGATCAATATTTTCAATATTTCTCATTTGATTTTTTCGAATTATGCTGTTCCATTGATATTTTGAGCATCGAATCTATCATATTTTCTACGATTCTCGCCAAATGTTTTTAATTGAATCATCGACTGCAAATGAGCGGTTTATTCTTCCTGTCGTTTAACTGCTTTTGAAAAATCATTCATATCCGAAAATCCTATATCATTCCAAACATATTTTTCCTTTGGGAATAAATGGCATGACCAACAATATAGAGAATTAGAAAATTTATATTCAGTGAGCCACTCATATTTTTCATATCGATAGAAAAATTACGAATGCAATTGATTTTATTTTAAAGTTTTGTAAAATTGGTTTTGGTTTTCCTTTTTCAATAATAAATTTTTTCGCATCCAAATTTCTTGAGTAAAATTTGCGTTTTTTTGGAGAATCAGAATATAGAAAATTTTCCAGAAGCTATTCCATCCTTTATATCTAACAAAAACATAAATAAATCACTTAAAAATAATGTATTTATATAATGAGCACACAATGACAAGAAGGGGATAACATTTTTTTTTATTGATAATGCCAACAACTAATTGATGGTATCTGAAACATTTGTCATGCTAAAGTATGAAAGGATAACATTGTTCAACTGCGAGTATACAATATGCCTAAGAGGCATGAACGATTATGGCCCTGTAATATTAGATGACTCTGATCAGATATACATCGCTATAGATACTTTATATTAGTATCGGCCGATACATAAACATCTAATGGCTAAAATCAAAATAGTAATTAACTCTCAAAGCATGGAAAAAATAAGCCCACAAATTTAAAAAAATTTTTTATAACAATCTGGAGATGTTTTATTTATTTGAAGATATTCTTTATAACGCCCATTGGTTCGGAATAATAGGCTACTAATTGTATTAGTAATATTTTGATATAAATTATAATCTTAAAAATTTACATAATCAGAAAATATGCAACACAATGGCATCTTATTAAAATCGGACCTATGTATCAATTATTGTCCGTATTTAGTAACAGTATCCACGGGTAAAAGTATTTTCGGTGCAAATTATCTTGGCAAAGTTGAGATCATTTTCCATTAATTATTTTTCTATTTTAAGCCTTTGAAGTGTATTATAAATTATTCATCTTCCGAAAACACTTGATATTTATAAGTTTTTAGATATTGGAGATGTATCTTGAAACGTATTTTGGCTATCTTTGGAAATTTTCTAAATAAATATGGAGTCCGAAGGTAAAAAGTTTAAAATTTGTATAAAATGTCCAAGAATGATTGAGATCCTAATCTGGCACTCCTCGTTTTGTTCTAGGCTCTCAGTTACAAATATTCTTCACCTTGCCCCATCACTGATATCCCTATTTCTTAAAACTTCCCAAATCATGTTTTTTTGGAATACCAAACACATAATTTTTTTCTTTAAATAACAATCGCTATTTAGGTTTTTTTAAAAGAACTACCAGTATTTTTGGATATCAATCATTTCAAACGTTTTTATTTTTTCAAGTTATTGATTTATCAATTATAATGTTAGTTGCTTGGGTTAAAACCTTTTATAAATATGTTACTCTAAAATTTAAAGATCAAAATTTTTTATTAGCTTTTTATCAAGTAAAAAACAAACATATAATAAACCTCAAAAATCTTCTTAAACGGAGTTTTGCCCAGGGATTTGATTTTGGTGATGTAGGTGCACGCTGTTTCCTCGATACTGTGGATTAGTGGTATATTGTTGGCATAGGGTTCGGTAGTTGGAAGAGTTTCTTTGTCATTTTCTTCTGGTATCGGGAGTTGATCAGGTTCAACTTTTTTTGATACATTATCAAAAAAAAGGAGAAAAAAATTTACCAAATTTTCTTTTTCATTCATAAAAATAATTGATGTTGTTAAATATTAGTTAATAAATTATATTTTTTTTAATAAGAAAAATTTACGAATTTAATAATCAAATATTTTAAATTTTAAAAAAAAACAAAAAGCAAAAATTTCGTTTTTTTGAATTATTTGTTTTTTTATATATATAGTATTACTAGTAATATCATAAATTGAGGAAAGAAAATTGTTTAAGAATTTAAAAATAAATTGTTTATGTTTTCCTTGTTTTGGTTCCGTTAAATATAAGTGGACATTCAAAAATTAATGTTCTTAGATTGGAGTTTGAGCCCAAACTGATTGAATATATAATACCTTCATTCGTATTGTTGTTACAAGGCAAAGGTTCATGCCTAAATAGGAAAGGTTCTGTTATTATGATCGGGGATGCAATGTAAATGGTATGTCGTTTTGTATCACCAAAGATGTCGTTGCCATCCGCCTCCATATTATTATTATCATTATTATCGTTATGGTTGTCGTTTAAATTTTCGAAATCATTTTCTTCGGAAGATTTCAACCTTCTCTTGATAAAATTCAAGGCGGCCCAAGTACCATAGTAAGGGGGTCTAAAATTTTCATGGAAGTGCAGGTACTTCACCCGGTATAAATTGTCCGACAATTTAAGGGGGGCGAACAGAGTCGCGGTGGTAACGCCAATATTCCCGATCGAAGCAATTTCAGAAGGTGATCCACGATCTTGGACGATTTCCGTTATATCATCGACGGAGTCTTGAATCAGGGCAGTGGCTGCTTTAATGTACTCGTCGGATTTGTTGATATCGTAATCCACATTATATGATCTAAGGGTTAAGTTAGGGATACGCAACGTTTTGGGGCATTTATGAGGCGTAATCGTTTTTTCTTTCAGGCCTTGTAGATATAGTGAAGAGGTCTGAATTTTAAAGGATTATCTATTAGTACATGATTTATATGGGCATTTTATCTCATTTGGAATTTAAGGTATAAAAATTAATTATATAATATTAAATAGAGCTCCGGCATGGAAAACAAGCATATTATGTTAGACTCTGCAAGACAAAGCCAAGTTTTCTTAAATTAAATGGGCCGGATTAAAACTTCTCATAAAGTAATTAATTAAAAAATAGATTTATTAAATTTAATCAAGCTTTAATTTAGTGGAAAATTGTCTGGAAAATAAAAAAATTTTGATTTTTTTATAAATATCCCTCGCGTTTTGTTTTGGATTTATCCAACAAAGAAATTAATTTTGGTCAGAACATTTTTTTTTATTCTCCAGGAGCTAATAATCTCATTTAAAATATTTGCAAATGAACAAATGTATTGTTAGCAAACCAGCTCAATTTGGCCGCTTTTAAAAGAGGGCTAAATCAAGATTTTAGCCAAAATACAAGGCTCAAAATTCCGCCAATAGAAATCCAAACCTTTTTTCTGACATATGTGAGCAAAATACTTCCAAAATCTTGAATTAACTGTTTTTAAAAAGTGGATAAATTAAGCTGTCTAACAACATTAGCTGAATGTAACTCGTTAGATATTTTAAAATAATTTTCTTGTCTCAAATAATATAACAATAAAGTGTAAAATTTTTAACTATTTTTTTTTAACATTACAACAAAATTAATTGTATTTTAATTTCCTTTCGTTAACTTATTCATATGAAATTATTTATAAAATTTTAAAAAAATTATATAATTAAATACACAATCATAAAATAACCAAAAAACAATATTAAAAAAATATATCGTTTTTTTTATAATATTGGCCCACTCCAATTATTTTTTGATAGGCAAAATACCAGTGCTAATCACATTAACGATAGAAAGCAATAAATAATTTTGAAAGGCTAAATATCAGTGCTAATCACATTAGCAATAGAAAGCAATAAATAATTAAATTAATCTTAAATTAATATTCTAAATAAATTTTTCAACTAATTTGTTTCACTTTTGGCGTTAACTGTCCATGGTAGGTGAGACATTTTTTATTTGACTTAAAACAATGTTTCTGTTTAGGGCCGACAAAACTTCAATGAACTGAGTAAATACTTTATATATTGCCTCAAAAAAAGTACAATTATTTAGGCCTGGCACAATTTTTTCTTATTTTGCCAATAATGGTTTATTTCTATATCGACCAAATGAATAGCAGTGCTAATGTAGTAATTAAGTATTTAATAGTTTGGGATAAGTTTTAAGATTAATACTTTCAAAAGCTTGAATAAATTCTTTAAACATATAGTGAAATAATTTTGTTCTAGTTCAAGTTCTTTATGCGGTTTGCAAGACTAATATAGGAATTAATGAGTACTAATAATCGGCAATAAATATTGGAGAAAACCATATATTTTGTGCTTGTAAATTTTATAGTAATGTGCCTTTGGGATTTTTTTCAGCTAATAATTTTTTTCCCTTTATACTGTCTAAAAAATGCATCGAAAAAAAAATATATTAGTTTAGCACTATTGGAATCATCCGGCCACTTCACAAATCTAATGATATATGTCGTAATTTTTAAAGGGATCATGACTATCCGGGATCTTCACGGGATTTAAAGGGATCCCTTTAAAATTTCAATTTTTTAAAGGGTAAAGAACTATACGGCATTATCACGTTTTAATCGTGTTAAAGAGGAATCTTATTTAAAAAGCGTTTTCCACGCGTTTCGTTGCGTTTTTTAATTTTATTGTTATTCATTAATTTTCAATGTTGTTTTTTTGGTTTATGATATAAGATATGTCTAATATAGGGTATCAATCGGTAGCTAATCAAAAGATCTATTCAATTGGAAGTCAATCTCTCCTCCATAATGGGCGGGTCTAGGTCTTGGGAGGCCAGAAATATTTTTATCAACATAAAATATCGATATGGGTATCAAATAAAAGCTAATTTTAATATGGTTTGACTGAAAGTCTTCATTCTTGGTCTTGATGGGTGTGACTTGGTCTGGGGGGGGAGGGGGTGTAAAAAATAATTTGAAATGGGTACCAAATAAAAGCTTATTCTTGGTCTTGATTATTATGACTTGGTCTGGGGGGGGGGGGGGCGGGGGGGGGGGGGGGGGGTGTAAAAAATTATTATTTTTGATATGGGTATCAAATATAAGCTAATTTAAATATCGTTAGATTGAAAATATTCATTTTTTGTCTTGATGGGTATGACTGTCAGGCCCTCAACATATTAACAAAATGTCTAGTTGGATAGAATTTACAGAAATAATAAAGAATGATGATAAAACAATTTTTTACATCTTTTTCGGTTCCAATCCTAAACTTGAAATATATAATTTGCAGTGTTATATATTTAACGCCTTTATTCCATAGCTATTTTTTTTAGTATCTTTAGCTTTAGCCTGCTACATTTTTTAAAAAGAGAGATAGCGGTAGCTCGTTATTAAATAAATAGCAAAAATTATTATAATAATTTTATAATTAATTCTAAAATCCTTATCTTTTTATTTTATTTAAAAATTTATATTTACATTTAAAAATATACATTGTAAATATATTTTTCAAAAAAAATTTTTTTTTAATGTCGACAGTAGACATTGATAATGAAAATAATTTTGGTACAGATAAATAAAAAGATTATGATTTTATAATTAATTATTAAATTATTATAATAATTTTTACTATTTATTTAGTAACGAGCTACCGCTATCTCTCTTTTTTAAAAAATGTAGCACTCTAAAGCTATCGAACTAAAAAAAATAGCTATGGAATAACGCCTTAAATATAGAACCATGCAAATTATAAATTTCAAGTTCAGGATTGGAACCGAAAAAAGATTTAAAAAATTATTTTATCTTCATTCTTTATTATTTCTGTAAATTCTATCCAACTAGATATTTTGTTAATATGTTGAGGGCCTGACAGTCATACCCATGAAGACAAAAAATGAAGACTTTCAGTCTAAAGATATTAAAACTAGCTTTTATTTGATACCCATATCGATATTTTGTGTTGATAAAAATATATGACCCCCCCCCCCCAGACCTAGTTCCCGCCCTCTATGAGTGATGATTATTATAACAATAAAGAAATATTTTAATTACCTTTTATTTGATACCCATATCAAAAAAAAATATTTTTTACACTCCCCCCCCCCTTCACCCACACCCCCCAGACCAAGTCATACCCATCAAGACCAAGAATGAAGACTTTCAATCAAACGATATTAAAATTAGCTTTTATTTGATACACATATCGATATTTTGTGTTGATAAAAATATTTCTAACCTCTCAAGACCTAGACCGCCCTTTATGGGGGAGAGATTGACTTCCAATTGAATAGATCTTTTAATTGGCTATCGATTGATACCCTATATTAAACATATTTTATATCATAAGGCCAAAAACAACAACATTGAAAATTAATGAATAACATAACGAAACGCGTGAAAAACGCTTTTAAAATAAGAATCTTCTTTATCACGACTAAAACGTGATAATACCGTATTATCATTCCTTAACTTAAAACCCTAATTTTTTAGTTATCCCTTTAAATCCCGTGAAGATACCGGATAGTCATGATCCCTTTAAAAATTACGACATAATATATTTAAAAAATAAATATTATAAACATAAATTTCAGGTTAGAGACAAACCTCTCCCTTCTAAATGAAAGAAATCATAGCGATGTCATTAATTATTAGTGTTGTTAAAAGAGTTTTTATGGCTCTAATCTCGAGTTGGAATCATAAAAATTGGCTAAGGCTCAAGTTGGTTCAGGAGTTGGATCAAACTGGCTGAGTTGGCTCGAGTCTAATTTAGAGCCAACATTTATTTATTTATTATCAAAATATTTTTTTAAAAAAATATAATAAAATAATAATAAAGAATTTGTGTACCATGCCAAGTTCCCTCATATATATTTTTTAATAAAATTTTTATTTTATTTTTAATTTTTTTTGTTACACATATTAATTTATCTTTTAGATATAGAAATTATAATAAAAATCATGTTATTCTTGAAAGCTAAAAATATTTTGATAAATAATCCTTCTTCAATCATCCCCATTTTCATGAAATATTGTTTTAGGCTCTACCACAATCTGTCAATTGTTTGATATTTTTTTGGATTTTATTTTGTGGAAGTTTGAACAAAAATTTTTATTTTATTTTAGATTTATTATTTTTTTTATGGCATTTTATTTCTTAATTTTTTTTCATAGAATTTCATGTAAATATTAAAAAAAATTTTATGAATTATTTTTAAATATGGTTTTGTTGATATTAATTATTTTTTTATGAATTTTGATTTTTTATATATGGCCTTATTAATATCAGAGACCTGCAGAAGTATCGCAAGGCCTGGATAGCCTGGATTTTTGAAAAAATATTTTCAGCATGGCCCTGGTTTTATTTATTCAAGGCTAGCTCTTCCAGGATTTTTTAAAATGTTTTTTTAAGTCTAACCACCATCTTTCAATTGCTTGAGTGACTATTGATATTTCTATCTTCAATATCAAAAAATTTAAATTAAAGTATATACATTTTGTCTCCTGATGGAAAATCCTCAGGTTGAGCCACATGAGCGGGCTCCAGCTCTTAAGTAGCTCATATGCTTATTTTAACAAGTATAAATATATTTAAAAATTCTTTCACTCTAGTTTAAACCTGTGCGCCGACGAAACTATAGGCGGCCGGAGCAATTTTCAAAAATCTAATCGACGGCTGGCAGCGCGCCGATTTTTAGCCGCCGTCAATAAAATCGGCGTAGATCGGCGCAGTTATAAATTTTTATAACATACATTTTTTTTAATAGCTTATTACATTTTTTTTAATAGCTTATTAATTTTTTTTTAAAAAAACAAATAAATATACACTATTCTACAGATATCTCGGCATATTTTTTAATATTCATTTAATAGGAAACTTATTATATCCAAAATCGATTTCGTAATTTTATAATA